ATGCAGTGGAGCCTAGACTGGATTAAAAACAGAAAGGGAGCTGAACGGAAGTATTGTTCCCTCCGTCATTACTGAGATGGTAGACAGATCTTTTCATCAGGACCATTGTCTCCCCAATAATGACACAGTCTTATATTATGAAAGCTCAGTCAATAGATTAGGCTTATTTCTAACTAGCTCTTATAAGTTAAATTGGCCCATTCCTATTCATTTGCATGCAGCCACATGGTTCATGGCTTGTTATCTCCTACTCATCACGCTTTCTCTGCATCTCCACATGACTCCACCCTTCTTTTTCCCAGCATCCTCTGGGCCTGGAAGACCACCTAGCTATTGTCTAGTCAGCTCTTTATTAAGCCAATCAGAATGACATCACAGTGTAATCAAATATTTGACAACAGGGATGCAATGTGACCAACAGCTTCTGCTGTTGGTGACCATACCTTGCTCCACTGGCATCGACCTCTAATTATGAAAACACAAACTCTTACACCTGGGGTTTCTCCACAGTGTTGTAAGTCTGTATGTAAGGCTGCTCTCTCCCTGTAATAAAGAGAGACACACACATGCTTTCTCTTATCACAAACAGCCGGATGTCTTGTCTTTCATTTAAATCTCCAGGCTTGAAACATTAGACTTGCTCATGGCACAGGTACCACAGTTTCTCATTGTAGATGTCCATGAGAGTAGTAAGCCAGAGCCATGTGATGGCCTGATTCCTACTACTATCTGTATTGAAATTGCTTTTGCCAAACTAATTAGCCCAGTACCTTTGAATTCAGCCTCACCTAATTTTTAAAACATGGGCAGAATGAAGGCACATTTCCTGCCTGAATATAGCACAAATGAGAACCACTCAAATTTCAGATAGAGCCCTTCTTCTGAAGCCCTCTTAGCTGGGTTGCCAATTTCTATCCTTTTCATGGCAGTGCCATCTCTGAAATTCTCAGGCAAATGAATCATTAATGGATGCTTCCTGGGACCTAAAGATGATCAATCCTGAAAGATCCAAATACTGACAACCAGTCTAAGGCCTGTTAATGGCCTAGCAATGCTCTACCTTCTGGGTATCAACTTTGCTCAGTTTTTACTTTTCTTGTTTCTCTGATAATCTTGCCAAAGTAAATTAAGGAAAAGTTTATTCATTTTGGAGCATAACTTGAGGGCACAGCCCATCAGTGAATCTTGTAAATCTCTATTAATTCCAGATTTCTCCTACCTAAGGTCAGTAGGCATTTTACTGCCGCTGATACCTTTGATTCAATATATTCAAGGTAGCGTAAGACAATTTGAAACCTTAGGTAAAACTTTGAAATGATCATCTCCAGATAAGAATACCTAGTTCTCCATACTGAGGCAACGGGAAAGGTGCCCTAAGCCTAGGCCACATCTATGAAAGTCTATCTTGTGAAAGTGAAAATCCATCTGAAAGGTGAAAGTCCAGTGTAAGAATACCATGTAAGGAGTTCATTTCTTAAAAACCACTGTTCTGTGAAAAGTTTCATCAGGGTCATCAGGGAAAAATGGGACTTTGGTCATTTGGGGTCATTCAACATCCAAAGATAGATGGCAACATTGTCCATATGCTTTGTAAGCCCTTAAGAAGCAACACCAGGGGAGCCATTAAGCTTTAGACCATTATTACATCAACCTGCTTGACCAGGAAATTTGTGGGGCATTCAATGTCTCTCCCAAATTGTTCTTGTGTGGCCACTGCACGCAACAGTTGAAGGTGACCAGTAAGTTGAATTGGAACCCCCGCTATGTTGAAGACACCAGAACCATAGGCTGCCTACTAAGCTAACCTGCACGTAACAGAGGAGCTGACCCAAGAGAGGGGGCATCTGTGCTTCAAGCACCAGCAATGGAAAGTTACCATGAGTCAGGTCCTTTGAAGTCCGGATTATTCTATCAAGAACCTTAGATGCAAAAAAAAAAAAAAAAAAAAAAAAAAAAGAACCTTAGATGCTATACATGTGAAGGTATAGGATTTGCACTTGCCCTAGAGGGTTTCTGTTGTAGTCCTGTCTGTCCTTGCCACATGGCTATGGGCAATGAGTCCATTGCCACTATGCTATTGTATATTGAAATAATAATCTTGTAAACACTGTGGGATAAGTGGTTGTTCCAATTTTAAAGTCAAGAGACTTTCGACTTTGACCAGAGTGGAACTTTTAAACTGTGCGGAGACATTTGGAGATGTACTAAATACCTTTCCTAGTAAGAGATAAAAATGAAACCGGAGGATGCCAAGGCAGAAGGTTGTGGTTTAAAGTAAGATGTGTGGGTGTCAAGTTGACCAAGGTGAACCTGTAATGACTCAATAATCAATTACATGGAGTTCAGGGTCACCATAGAAACCAACTTCTGGATATATTTATGAAGAAGTTTCTGGATTGAGTTGAATAATGACGATTCATTCTACATATGGACAACAACTTCCCATAGATTGGGATAGTAGACGGAATTTAAGAAAGAAAGAAATGTGTGTGAGTTGTAGTGTTCAGAGCTTCTTTGCTTTGGACACAATGTCACCCCACATTCATACTTCAAGATATTTCTTTCCATAGTTGACATTATCCTCAAACTGTTGACATAAACATTTATTCCTTATGGCTTGTCAGATACCTTAGCAAAGCAATAAGAAAAGAAAGAAGTACATATGGTATGGTGATGCTGGCCTCAAGCAGTAGCAGCAGTAAGAACAAGGTGACACGATGTTGTGCTGACCTACACAGGGAGACTGAGGCTCACTTTGTCTCAAAACAAAAGAAAACTTAGTTCTGAATAACTATTCAACACATGTTGAACTTACTTTCATTTAACTCAATATCCTGGACTGCAGAATCACCCATTCAAAGTTTTACAAGATGTGGCTTTCCTCATGGATGTTATGCATTCCAATTGTGATCATTGCTTTGAGTGAAAATGTCTCCAGCATGTCGGCTGGATTATAATGATTCCCAGGCAATACCCCTTTGGGTGATAGAATGAGGTGTGAGATTTTTTATTTATCATTTTTAGAAGTTATACTAATTTGTCAACTTACTGCAAAAAAAAGACAGACACAGTTTTCTGGCTGCATTTTTTCACTACTAAGGGCCTGTAGGAGTACACTATTTTTCCTTACACCTTGTGGGGTTCTAACTAGCACCCTCTTTTAAGAACTGTCTTCATATTTACCATACAGACTAGGGTCTTCATTCTCTGTTTGCCTAATACTATACAAATGTTGGCATTCAGGTAACTACAAATTTATTAAAACTCATGCCTAAACATTGCCAGGAGAAAAACAAAACAGGAAAGAGGACATGAGTTCCTTATAGAAATGAAACAAAAATAATTGTTAACAGTGAGAACCTACTACGTCGACTTAGAAGTAGCTCTCTTGTGAACTTCTCTTTAAACTAAAGGTTTGCACTTTGCTCTAAGGCATGATGAGTACAGGAATAAACATTCCTAAGACAAGAGAGTGATCTCATTACTCCACGGTGACAATCTACCTTCTGTATTCCAATTAGTAAACCTAATATTTCCCTGATTGTATTTATGATGCCCGACTTTCAAAATTCTGCCGGACAAGAGCAATTCCAGAATCAGAGAAGACTGTAGTTGGATTTTGCTTTGGGATGCCATGTCCCAAATAAAGACATGGAGACTCTTAATTATGAAAGCTCTGCCTAAGCATAGGCTTGTCCTACTAGCTCTCCTAACTAAAAATCACTCATTCATATCATTTTGCCTAGTGGCTTTTTACCTTTCTTTCATTCTGCATATCCAACTCCCTCCATGTCTTGTTGGCATCTCCCTGCACTTCAATTATCAAACCTATACTTCCTCTCTCTGCTCAGAAGTCCCACCTAAACCTCCTACCTAGCTATTGGCCATTCAGCTTTATTTTTTTTATTGCAGCAAACACAGCAGTACACCTTCACACAGGGTACAAATACCCCACAACAGAAGACAGAAGAAAATGAACCAGATAGTTTGGTACCTAACACAGAGGGAAATTGTACAGTGGATGACGGGCCAGGTGTCGCATCAGTACACACACCACTGTGACACCAGGAACTGTGTCTTCCTGCTTGGGAGAGGGGCTGAGGAGGTACTCACTGGTGCAGAGAACACCTGCTGGTGAATACTTCCCTGAGTTTGTGGCGAACCAGGAAGCGGATGAAGTTCTGAAATGGATGAAGCTACAGCTCTGGTAAGATTAAAGTTCTAATATAGATTAATGGACCAAAGTATAGACCACGGTCCTATGGACAGATGGGAAGATTCTCAGATGGATTCTAGGAGTTCTTTACATGTAAATGTCAGGGTAGGACTTTTAACTCTGCTCCGTGATTTTTTTCTTTCTTTCTTTCTTAAAAGTCTATGTCCCTGATTTACCTCCTTCACGGTATGGATTCCAGCATTCGTAGGACAACTATTTTTCTAGCTGTGGAGTCTGATACATGTATGGTTCACAAGGTTTGTCAACACAGGGGAACACGGAGATTTACGTGTTGTATTATTTACAAATGCTGGGTATTAAGCCAAAGCTTCCTTCATTCTAGGAACTTAACTTTACCCCCAAGATAGTTCCCGTTCCTCTCGGTACTTTGTATTTTTGAGACAAGGCCTCTATAAACTTCCCAGGCCCCCTTGAATTTATAATCCTTTCGTGTCAAACCGGATGAAACCACCAAGGCTGGTTTCGAAAATCATCTTCAAGTGATAGGCCTCCTACTTCAGCCTCTTGCTTCCTTATTTTAATGACGCGAATGCCAAGTTTCCATGAGGGCAGCACGGTTTTATAATCAGTAGGCGACTTTTAAAACGACAGTGTGATCAGACGTAACTACTAAACTTTCCCGCCAAAGTCTGACGTTCGAACAGGTCCTGTTTCCAAGGACTTTAAAATCAGGCTGACTGCGTGCAGTCAGTGCACCGGGCTTGTTTCTCTCCATCCTCCTCGGCAGATAGGAGGGAGCACACAGGATTCTGGGAAATGTAGTCCGGCTCACTGTGACGTCACAAACAGTCGCTCTGCGAACCGCACTTCCGCATCCCTTCTGCAGACATTCGTCCTCCCCTAAGTTCGCTGGTGTTGGGTCCTGCTCCTCGCTCTCGGTCGGATCTCTAACATGGAGGTTGGTCCAAGGTGCAGCGCAGCCCGAGGCACTGTGCGGGGTGCGAGGGTCCGCTGGGAGGGTGCGTTCCTGGGCTGGGCCAGAGGCGGGGAGGGAAGAGGACCTGGAGATGCTGTGCTGACCTAGGCTGGGCCACTGAGCCTGAATGCGGGTCTGGGCTGGGGAGAGCAGGATGGGGGTGGAGCTGTGAGGGAAAGCTTTGTTAGGACGCGCCTGCCAGAGTCCTATGTGCGCTTCTGGGGTAGGGCAGATGGCCCTGTAGCCCGGAGTGTGGAATGGTGGAAGGAGCAGTATTGCCCCCCGCAGGGTTGCCTAGCGCACTGCCTGCGCTTGAGATGTTATAGGAACCCACTTGCAGCCTGGCGGGGGTGGGGAGGTGTGAAACGTGCTCTCCCTAGCTGACTCATGCTCATTTGTCTGCTGGCAGGTGTCTCAGGACTTCTAGAACAAGTGGAGATCTGGCCCCTGCTGGACTTTATGGCCGGCCTAATACTCTTGGTTTGAGTTGGTAGAAGTTTCCAGGGACAGAGTTCTGTTAAGAAGATTGGTGTGTGGGATGTTAGTCCCGTTGTTTTGGAATAAATTATTAGATTTCTGGACTGTTGTTTTGAAAGGGAGTCAGTCCTTCGTGGCCACCTCTGTGATCACAGTTCTCATACTTGACACGCCCATATAGAGACGTATAAACGTCCTGAAGGAGAAGGTTTGAGCTTTGCATCATTCTAGCAATCATGGATCCTGTATCACAGAGTGGAAAATAGTAGAAAATAATCCAATTATGTCAGGGATTGTGTGATATCAGAAGTTTGAACTCCTTTTCAGACACAAGTGATGAGTTGATGGGAAGGTAGAGGTGCCTAGTGACTTCAGGGAGGGGACTTGAGTGTCTCTGGGGAGGAGAAGTGACCCTGCATACCTAACAGGCTTTATGTTGCTCTTTAGTCATGAGCTTTTGTTCTATCTCAGGTACACTGCAGGGTCTAAACTGCCTAGCAGCTACCCTGTCACTGCCCCCAAATGTGGCATCCAGGCTCCCTGATGCTCCCCAGTCTTCTGGAAACATTTGCCCAAATATTCACACAGGGTCAGGAAGATTTGAAGAACTATTGCTCACTCCGGGTTCTCTGATTTGTACATAGTAGACTCCTCAGGCTATCTTTTGTATAGTTTCATAGTTCACAACACTTTAAGTCAAGCCAAGCGTTTGTGTGGCATTAAAGTCTATTAAAAAGAAACGTGGACTTTAAATCCCATCTTCAATACTGATATTTCTGTTGACTATGTAACTATGAGTAAAATACAGACACTTCCTAGTTATCATCACTAGTCCCCAGGACAAGAATAGCATTATGTTTTACATTATTTAAAGTGGCAAGAGTACACTGCCATGTGCATCAAAACTGGTTTCCTACAAGATAGGGATGATGCAGCAGTATGCGCTCATATAACTCAAGACCTTTCGGGTGTACAACTTAAACACAGCTGTGAATGAAAGCAAAAAACCAACCAACCAACCAACCAAACAAACAAACAAAAAAACAAAACTGAAACCTGCATCCATATTGTGAAGTGAAGACAGGGAATTAGGAGTTCAGGGTCCTCCTTTATATCATAGATTATCCAACACCAATTTATGCTAAATGAGATTATGTATCAAAAAATGTTTTTAAAAACAGTGTATGGAACTACTTATGGCTCTAATTAATCACTTGACGTAGCCCCATTGAACTGACAGAAATCTGCCTAATTGACACTGACTTTCAAAGTGTATTCTTGAGAAGGTCTATTGGCTGTATTTGAGGTATAATTTAAAATTCTCCAAAAAACAAGCTTTAGTTAGAGGCATTACATTTTGGTGGTTAGATTATTGTTTGTAGTTACTGTGTGAGGGAGGATTCTGTTCTTTGCCTTGATTAAATATTCCTCCATATTTGCAGGGGATGTTAACTATCTTTGGTTGTTAATTTGTTTTAGTTTCTGTGAGGACCTCATGGTGTTTTCTTCTGGTTTTCCCTGAACTGTTCGCATTTGAGCTCCTCAGACGTCTACTCGGAGATTTCAGTCATTTCTCATTTCTCTCTTCAGCTCTCTGCTGGTGCAGCCCTCAGTGGTTTGCACTCTTCTTTCTGTGTCCCTGGGATCCTTCCCCAGTCTTTACGCCACAGGGTTAGCTGTGTATGGAAGGCTTCTTTACATGTAGCCAGAACAGAACCCCAGTTCTGCATGTGAAAATGACGGACACACCTTCCACTGTCCTTCACATGTGTTATTGCCACAGCCAGCTAGGAACCAAACTGCTAATGTGAGGTATTTTTCCTCTAGTATTTCATGCTCTGTCCTTTCCCCTCCCTTTCCTTACAGACCGTTTATTTTTATTCTTAATGTTGTTGTGAATGACCACCTAGAAGAAAGAATTGCTGGTTTTTTTTTTTTTAACTCAAGTAGTACCTTGTTATGTTAGGCATGTCATTCTTGGAAAATGATGAAGCGAAATTATGCTGGATGATAGCATTCAGTTACTGGTGATCTCTGTGACATATGTCCGAGGCCATGGGAAAAATAATAGAAGGTATTTAGAAAGATTTAAGTAGGAGTCAGTCAAAAAACATATATGCAAAGAATAAGAGTGAGTACAGGTTTTCATCATGTACTCCATTTCAGCTGTAAATATTTCTGTCAGTGAGCCCCTCCATAGTTGTTTTCAAATGCAGTAGTGTATTGTGAGTTGAGAAATTATGTGTGCTTGTCTAGACTCTCTCAAAGACTGTAATTGTTCCCTTTGAGGTAAGTACATAAAAATTATGGATGAGAGTATGAGCCCCAACTGTTTACAGGATGGACTGCACTTAATATTTCATTAAGAACATGCAATAACAGTGTGCTGGGTATTTTAAACATCAGTCACACCGAGACAGCTGTCATTGATATTAGAAGTAGTAGTCTAAATAAATTTACAGTTCACATTTCTAGTAAAGATATGGCATTTGGTCTCCCCTGGTCTTTTCTGGGCTCCATTTACACACTCTGAGTCATATTATTGCAAAATGTGTTGACTAAAAACAAAAATCAGTGATTGCTGTGTGACACTTTTATGTTGGTCAGTGTCAGGAGGAAGAGAGGCCTGAGCAGCCACTCATGAATGAAGGCCCTGGTGAAGTTAGATAATAGGAGGAAGAAGCTTATGGAGTTATACCCCAGAGTAGTGGCTGTAGGTAACGTATACTTCAGATGTTTGGAAAACATTGTAAGCAGAGAAAAAAGTATTTGACCAGCCTAGCATATGAAACTGGTTTGAAGACTATGTAAAGTACACCTGTAGCAATTACTGCAAAATTAAAATCAACATTTCTCATGTTTTTTATATTTAATCATTGAAAGGAAAAATATTATCATTGCTCTCATAGATTATTTTAGGAATTCTATGTGATAAGAAAAAAAACTGAAATGAGGAAATTTTGAAGAGAAAATAGCAAGTAGCATAACAAGTTACAATCCTTGACCTCCAGTTACCAAGGCATAGTTATGAGCTCAATGCCTGTTGTAGGATTACAGCAGATACACAAATAGCTCTCTGAAAAAGGAAAGCCAAAAAAAAAAAAAAAAAAAGGAAAGGGGGGTGGGACAAGTTAGAGTGGTGTCCAGTGTATTTTCAATCTTCAAATATTGTTATTACTACACTGACGAATTTGTGAATTTTTTGAAATACTTATGATTCCAGTTTGTCTGTGAGTTCATCCTTTACTGATCTACCTCATGGCTGCTCCATCTCATGTCTTCTTGATGTACTGACTTTAGCATCACTATTGAATTCTCTATAGATTCAGTAACCTAGACCCTCCCAGAGCTGCCGCATCAGAATCTACATTTTTCCTTGCATTTCACATTCATGGTTAATAACTACCTTTTCCCTCACCATGACTTTTCTCCTGTGAGAAATGTATACATGTGTGGTTATAAAACATGCACAAGACAAATACAGTATTTATTTCCATTTTATGTTTCCTTTTTTTTTTTTTGGTTTTTCAAGACAGGGTTTCTCTGCTAGCCTCGAACTCACAGAGATCCACCTGCCTCTGGCTCCCGAGTGCTGGGATTAAAGGCGTGCGCCGCCAACGCCCGGCTCATTTTATGTTTCCTAAAAGTCAAATATCCACAAGAGATAATAGGTTCTTTGCATTCTCTTTGCTGGAAGATAGGTTAAGGGTGACCATGTGTGACCAAAGATGAGATTCTATGGCCATTTCAGACAGATCTTAGGAATGTTACTTGTAGGCAGATTTTTCTCTGTGTTCCTGCAGCCTCACCCAAATAACCAGGCTGAGACTTAAATTATAAATGCTTGGCCAATATCTTAGGCTTGTCTCCAGCCAGCTCTCACAATTTAAATTCACCCATTTCTATTAATCTATGTGCTACCCAAAACTGACTTACCTCATCTATGAACTTTCCGTGTTGCTTCCTCCAAGTTTGGCTCAAGACTCCTGAAACCCTGCTCTTCCCAGTGAAAATCCTGCCTAGCTATCAGCCATTCAGCTTTGTAGTAAGTCAATCCAAGTGACAAGCCTTCACAGTGTACAAAAGGATTATTCCATTGTAGTTACTTGCCTATGTGTGAAGCACTTCTAGCTTTGGTTTTAGCCTGAACACAATTTAGAATTGTACTCATAAGCACAAGATAGTGGTGTTTTATGTTATTATTATCGTTTTAATTTAATATGTACAGTAATCATTTATTTTTATTTCAGGAAATGCTATCATTCAGGGATGTGGCCATTGATTTCTCTGCAGAAGAATGGGAATGCCTGGACCTTGCTCAATGGAATCTGTACAGGGATGTGATGTTGGAGAATTACAGCAACCTCGTGTTCCTGGGTAAGGATTGCATTCATAAGTGAACTCTTATTTCATCACCAACCTGTGACTTCCTCCGTGTGTAGAACATCCCAAGGGAATTTGTGCAGTAACTTTTGTATATCTACTTTAATGGAAAAATTAGGGGAATTGCTGATAGTCTAAGAACATATTTTACTTCTTTTGTTTTTAATGTAGATTTTTGATTGTTTTTGTTTGTTAGCTTTTTAATATGCTTCCTTCATTCTAGTTGTAATTCTATAAACTCAGTATTGTGAGGAATGGAGCATACATGTTGAAGAGAATGTTTCACCCTTCAGATTTCATATGTACTTTGTTGTTGAAGCTAGGGATTGAAGGATTATAAATTACTCCTACAGGCTGGAGAAATGGCTCAGAGGTTAAGAGCACTGACTGTTCTTCCAAGGGTCCTGAGTACAATTCCCAGAAACCACATGGTGGCTCACAACCATCTGTAATGAGATCTGGTGCCCTCTTCTGACCTGCAGGCATACATGCAGGCATACTGTATATATAATAAATAAATCTTTAAAAAAATAAATTACTCCTACATATTCTATACATGTTTCTCAGGAATCATTTCTTGAACTAATTTTCTACAATTCTTTATAAGCTCAATAATGGAATAGTATGCTAATTCCCAGTAAAAAACACTAACAGTGATGTTCCCTTTTCCCCTAAACAGGTCTTGCCTCATGTAAGCCATACCTGGTCACTTTTCTAGAGCAAAGACAAGGGCCTTCAGATGTGAAGAAACAAGAAGCTACAACCATACACCCAGGTGTGTAGGAATGAGGGGGACAGAGGACAGAGTGGGAGGTCAGAGGTCCAACAAAACCCAGGCTTTATCCTGAGCATTGGTGGAATCATTTTTAAGGATCTTCTTCCGTCTTTTGCTGTTACAGAAGGGCATTAAGTCTCTAAGCTTTGTTCTTCCCCTCCAGTGAGTCAGAGTTCTTAATTTTTCTGAGTTTATATTGTAACTGACTTTTTACTGTCTTCCAACCCTCTGAAAATTTCCACATATTCCTAAAGACCTGTAAGTGCAGTAACTTTAAACATGAATTTCTTCCATGTCATGTACATCATTGTTAATTACAAATATCTCATCAAGCTGTGAATGACTATGCTGTATTCTAATGATTTTTTTTCCTATGACATGCTTGGTGTCAAATTAAAATGGATTCCCTTTGTGGATATAGCATTCTAAATAAAAACTGCACATCTAGAAGCATATTTTTAATGACCATCAGTAGGTCTTCCGAATTTTGTGGACTCACTAATCTTTTTCTTATTTTGCAGTTATACTCTAAGTTTCTAAATTATATCTTCACATGCAGCCTATATATTTCTGTAAGTGGATTGTCCAATGCTAAGCACTTCAAGACAATGTAAATATGTCAGCATTAGTCCTGTGAACATAAGTATTGTATATTTCCACTTCATGGGCAAATATGAGTCTCATGCTTTCATGTCTTTTATATTGTTATTCAATTGTTTTATTTCATGAATGAGTACAAATAGTCTAGCTTTATGAAATACTCATTGACAGTAATGTTGCCTTTAGCAAAAGTCTGTCATTTAAACACGGACTTCAAAGTTTTTCACAAGTCTGTATCAGGAATTTATTTCCTTGTTAGGCAAATGTAGCATAAAATACTATCTTCAGCTCATAAACACTATTATTTCACAGTGTTATAGATAATAAACTTCTTAGGAAACAAATCTTTTCAAATTGACGACAATCGATACAACATGCAGATACTGAAGTTTGGCTACCGTAGTTGAGTGAGAATGTCTCCCTGTGGATTCCTGTCTTTGGACCCCTGGTCCCAGTTGATGGTGTAGCCTTGCTAGATGCAGTACATGACTAGGAGTCATGGTAAAATCCTTTCAGAGTAAAAATCCTGCCTCTGCTGTTGGTTGGTTCTTCTGCTTCATGGCTTGCACCACACCATGAGCCGCAGCTTCTGCTCCAGCCACCGTGCCTGCTATTTGCCTTCATATGGTCCTCCATGATGGACTCATATTGTTCCGGAACCATAAGCTCAAGTTAAATCTTCCATCTGTAAGCTACCTTGGCCCTGGTAATTTATCACAGCAACAGAAAATTACCCAATATAGATAACGTTAAAATTTTTTGTCTGGTCAAACAATTTGTCTGGTGGAATTATTTCTCTTAGCATAATCCCTTAAGAAGTTTTTATTGTTATTGATGGTACAACTTCCTTAGCCATTTAAGTTTGGATATTGACTTCAATATTTCAGTATTCTTTGTTGTCTTCATCTTTTCAGTAGAAGTTCATATTGTTTTTATCTACAATATTTTCTGAATCCATTATAGTGAATATAGGTTTGGAAATGTATATTATAGTTTCTCATTTGAATGAGAAGTATGAATAACAGTTTCCATATTAAAGATAAGCACTGAAAATATAAAGAATGTTACTTGGATTTTATTCATATCTCAACCTTTACTCACTAGGGGGAACGCCCTATAAATGTCAAGAATTTGACAAGGCCTTTGATTGGAACTCACTCCTTATTCAACACCAGAGAATTCATCCTGTGGAGAAACCCTACAAATGTGAAGAATGTGGTAAGGTCTTTAGTGCTCACTCAGCACTCTCTGTACACCAGAGACTTCATACAGGAGAGAAACCCTACAAGTGTGAGGAGTGTGGCAAGGCCTTTAGTACTCGCTCAGCCCTTTATATACACAAGAAAATTCATTCTGGAGAAAAACCCTACAAGTGTGAAGAATGTGCAAAAGCATTTTATTTCCCTTCATTACTTAAGCAACATCAAAGAACTCATTCTGCAGAGAATCTCTGCAAGTGTGAAGAGTGTGGCAAAGCATTTTATTTGCCTTCATTCCTTAAGCAACATCAAAGAATTCATTCTGCAGAAAATCCTTACAGGTGTGAAGAATGTGGTAAAGCCTTTTCATATCCCTCAACCCTAAAGCAACATCAAAGAATTCATTCTGGAGAGAAGCCGTACCGTTGTGAAGAATGTGGCAAAGCCTTCCGTAGATCTACATACTTTCACCAACACCAAAGAATTCATACTGGAGAGAAACCCTACCAGTGTGAAGAGTGTGGGAAAACATTTTACTATCGTTCAAACCTGAAGGGACATCAAATTATTCATTCTGGAGTGAAGCCCTTCAAGTGTGAAGTGTGTGGCAGCATGTTTAGAACTAGCTCGGACCTTTCTAAGCACCAGAGAATTCATGCAGAGGTGAAGCTCTACAGCTGTGAGGAGTGTGGGAAAGCCTTCTCTACACATTCGTACCTCATTCGGCACAAATTAGGCCATTCTAGAGAGAAACCATACAAATGTGAAGAGTGTGGCAAAACATTTTGTTATCCTTCAATCCTTAAGGAACATCAAAGAATTCATTCCGGGGTGAAACCCTACAACTGTGAAATATGTGGCAGTATGTTTAGAACTCGCTCAGAACTTTCTAAACACCAAAGGATTCATGCAGAGGTGAAGCTCTACAGCTGTGAGGAGTGTGGGAAAGCCTTCTCTACACATTCGTACCTTATGCGGCATAGACTTGGTCATTCTGGAGAGAAACCTTACAAATGTGAAGAATGTGGGAAATCATACAGCTACCCTTCACTCCTAAAGGAACATCAAAGAATTCATTCTCAAAATCCCTACAAGTGTGACGTGTGTGGGAAGGTCTTTTGTACTCGCTCAGGACGTTCTAAACACCAGAGAATTCATACTGGAGAGAAACCTTACAAGTGTGAAGAGTGTGGAAAAGGCTTTTCTACTCATTCATACCTTACTCTGCACAAATTACTCCATACTGAAGAGAAACCATACAAATGGGAAGAATGTGGCGAGGTATTTTATACTTGCTGAAGATTTAGTAAATACCAATAAATTCACGCTGGAGAGAAACTCCACAAATGTAAATAATGTGTCAAAATGTTACTTCAGGCTTTGAACAACACCAAAAAACTTCATTCTGAAGAGAAACCTTACCTTTATTAATCTTTAAGGCGTCATTAAACTCAAGGTCCTTCCTGCTGTAGAGAAACCCTACAGATGTGAAGGATGTGGCAGAATGTTTTTCTGTACTTCAAACTTTAACATCAAAGGGCTCATTCTCAAGAGAACCCCTTCAAGTGACAAGGTAGTGTGTGGTACCTTGAACTTTGTCTAAGGGAGGGTTTATTCTGGAGAGAAACTTTACACATGTGAAGAATTTGGAAAATCCCTTTGAACTCATTCATCCGTGACTCTGATCTTGGCAAAGTTCAGGATGTTTGTTTGTTAGGTTGTGGTCAGACCTGTTGGCTGTGGGAGGAACCACGTTTTTGGACTAAGACCCTGGATTGTATAAAAGGAGAAAGTGACCTGAGAACAACCATTCATCTGTCTTCTTCTGCTTCCTGACTGTTGAGGCGACAAGAGCTTCCGCTACTCCTGCCCAAACATTCTCCCTGTGATTCCCAGTGTCATGGTTTGAATGAGAAATGTACCCTGTAGTCTTAGGCGTCTGAACATTTGTTCCCTGTTTGGGGAGGATTTGGAGTAGGTCACTAGAGGTGAACTTTGAGATTAAAAAGCTCCCTCTGCATCCAGTTTGCTCTCTCTGCTTCCTGCTTGCTTTGAGGATGTGAACTCAGCTTCCTGCTTCAGCCATGCAGCTTCTTGCCATGCCCTCCATCTATCTTGGACTTTGATCCCTTCTGTACCATAAAGTCAAGTCATCCCTCCATAAGTTGCGTTGGTCATAGTGTATAATCACAACAGAAAAGTAACTAATAAAAACATTGCCCTTGTACCATGAGCAATATTAAACTGTTTCTTCTGACACTACTCATGTAACGGTATTTTATCATAACAAGAGAAAAAATAAGGCTGCAAACCAAAGAAAACCAGCAGTTTGTTATTTAATGCTATATACCATAATCTTATGCTCCTGTTTCCCTATTATCTTCTTTGTCCCTGTCTGATTACCTCATTCTTTTCCAAAAACTGTTTCTTACACACACACTCCACAGATGTAGTAACAGTAAAAATTTACTATGACATTTCTCTTTTTCTGCAGAATTTTGGTGCCACGTGTGGTATTCATGTTGGTGCAAATGTGGTATTTATAACACTTTATTGTTTAAATTTTTGTTTTTTGAGACAGTATCTGCATAGCCCTGGCTGTCCTAGAACTCATTCTTTAGGCCAGGCTGGCCTCTAACTCACAGAGATCCACCTGCCTCTGCCTCCACGTACTGTTTTGGATTTTTAAGATTAAGTTATTTTCTCATCAAGTTCAAATTGGTTTTTCTGTGGGATGAAATACACAGACCTATCACTGCATATGTACTTTGACCACCTCTAGTTGTTAAAAAGGCTGTTACACTACATGGTTTTGACATTTATGTAAAAAATTATTTTTAAAGTTTGTTGCCATATTGGTTCAAGTACATTTCTCACTTTACATTGGTCTATGCGGGTGGGTTTTCCTTTTGTTTTGGTGGTTGTGTTTTGTTTGTTTTTGTATGAGTACCTTGCAGCACCTTTCACTATGTCTATGTTGTATAGTTTGAGGTTAGGTAACGTGATTCAGCTGACTATTCTTTCTGTATAAATTATGTTGTCTGGGGTCTTTTGTGTTCCCAAATGAGTTATTTTTTTTCTAGTTTTATGGCGAATGTCACTGGAATTTTGCCCTGGATTGCATTGAGTGTGTAAATAGCTTTTATCCGTATTGCCAGTCTTAAGAATGTGAGCTCTGCCAATCCATGAACATGTAATATCTTTCTGTCATCTGTCTGGAAACTGTTTGCAGTATTTAAAATTTTTGCTAATAGTAGTTCCAGACTTGTCTCAGAAACAAAACAGAAAGAAGTCTTTCACCACCTTCATCAATGTTACCCCTATAAATATTTCCCCTTCCTCCTCTTTTCCTGCTCCTCCTCTTCCTCTTCTCTCTTCCTTGTCTCCCATTATGAATGGACATTTTTCCCTCAATTTCTTTCTCAGAAAGTCTGTTAGTGGTGTATATAAAGGCTAATGATTTTTGTATGCTGACTTTGTAAGCTGCTGTTTTAGGGAAAATATCAGATTCATAGGTTTTTGGTGATGTACATGAGGTCTTTTAAATAAAGAATCGTGTCATCTAAATATAGCGATAGTTTAACTTCAGATCAAATTTTTGTCCTTTTGTTCTCTCTATATTGTCTTAACTCTTTAGTTAACAGTTAGAGCATACTATCCAATCAGAATACAGATAGTAACCCTTGTCTCGTCTCAGCTTTTCCAGGGACTGTTTTCAATGTTTTTTCTCTACTTACTAAAGGTTGGCCATTCACTTGATATTCATTGCCTATATTATGTTGAGAGATGTTCCATTCATTCCTAGTTTCTACTTCAACATGTTTTGCAGTTCATGAGGTGCCTTTCCTACATTTATTGAAAGGCTCATGTGATTTATGTCTATTAATATTCTGCACTGTATGTTGATTTACATATGTTGAGACAACCATAGAAGGAAAAAAAAACCCGATTAGTTGTGAGAAGTTTTTAGGTTTTAGGGGTTTGGTTTGGTTTGGTTTGTATTTTGGTTTGTATTTTGTGCTGTGGTATTGGGGTGCATGTGTGTTTATATCTTTCTAATTTTGTTATTATGGTTATGCCAGCTCATTAGAATTAATTTGGTGATTCCTTCTGTTTCTTGGTCATTTCCTTTCAGTTATTCTTGGTAGTTTCTTCTGTTTCTGTTTTATGAAAGAATTTGAATGGTGTCATTTGATCTTTAAAGCTTGGTAGAATTTTGCAGTAAATCTATCTGTTCCTGGATTTTACTTTTTGGTCAGACTTAGTTATTGCTTCAGTATCCTTGTTGATATAGGACTGTTTAGGGTGTTTATATCTTCTGGCTTTATGTTCACTCAGTTGTATATATTTGGAATTATATACTCATTTCTTCTAACATTTCTAAATTTTTTGGAAAATTAAGTTTACAAAAGCTTTTATGATGGTTTTCTGTATTCCACTGGAGTCTGTGGTAACAACTCCCTTTTGTCTTCCATTAATTAGGTCTCAGTCTTCCTCTCTCTCTCCCTCTCTTTCTCCCTCCCCCCTCCCTCCCTGCCTTCCTCCCTCCCTCCCTCACCCCCTCTCTCCTTCTCTCACTCCCTCTCTCCCTCCCTCACTCACTCACTCTCTCCTTCTCTCACCCCCTCTCTCCCTCCCTCACTCCCTCCCCCTCCCTCCCTGCCTTCTTCCCTCCCTCCTTCACCCCCTCTCTCCCTCCCCTCTCCCTCACTCCCTCACCCCCTCTCTCCTTCTCTCACCCCCTCTCTCCCTCCCCCTCCCTCACTTCCTTTTCTCTTTCAGTTACTCCCTCTTTTCCACCATCACCCCCTATCTATCTCTGAGTGCTTCACTGGGAGTTACAGAATCTTGTCTATCTTGTGAGATAATCTGCTGTTTGTTTAGTATACTGTTCTTCAGGTCTCCAGTTGGTGAATTTTGGTCCTCATTTTTATTATTTTTAGTGTATATTGTTTATACTTCATGTCAACTTCTGTATTTTGGTTTGGCTTCTTTTCTCCAGCTTTGCAGTGCATCATTAGGTTATTTATTTGAGACCTCTCTTATAGTCAATTAAAAATCTTAGTGTAACTTTGCTCCTTAGGACTGCCTTCCTCTTGGATTTATTCACTGAGCCACTGTTCATTTAAAGATATATATTATTTAGTCACCAATCAGTTGTCCACTTTCTGAGGTTAGTCTTTCTGTTTCTACTTTAGTACGGTGTCCTCTGATAGGATGTGCAGGGTTCTTCCTTCCTTCCTTCCTTCCTTCCTTCCTTCCTTCCTTCCTTCCTTCCTTCCTTCCTTCCTTTCTTTCTTTTTTTCAAGTCCAACTGATATTTGGGCACCTTTGGAGTTTCTTACACAACTTGGATTTGGAGGTCTAGAAATCTGACTCAAAACAAATCTTGCTACATCTGTTTTTGAGTAACTAGACATACTTCTTCCTCTGCTCTACATTTTTCTTGTCTTTTAGGTGGCCTTCTCAATTTATGTGCATCATTTACATGTCACCTTAAGTCAATTAGTTCTGTCAAAGTCTTTCCACCTTATAATGATCTTGCCCAAACAAAGGTCTCAGCAAAGCCACTAAAGCTGCATACTAGTCTCCAGATCCCTGAAGAATCAACCTGCTTTTTTAAGTCCTCTGTGAACATAGTTCTATTCATTTTCCCAATGAACTGGGCTTCAAACACAGTCTATGTTGTTCCGGGGTCCCGTGGTAGTGACCATAGCTGTCTGTGGTCCTCTAGCGGCTGGTATTTATGGGCGCCTCAGATAAAGTGGCTAGGGGTTTCTAATGGCTCTAATAAGCCAGTCCATCCGGGATGCCTTCCTAATGAAGCCTTTGCCTTAGGGAAAGACGAGTAGGTGTGTTATTCTGTTTTCCTGCATCCGCAGCAGTCAGACTGAGCGCTTTAAGGAAAGACGAGTAGGTACATTGTTCTGTTCTCTGCGTCCGAAGCAGTCACACTGACCCTGTCCACCTAAAGATGTCCCCAGCATCACTATCCAGGTTGTCACAGATTCTTTAATTTCTCATGTAAAAGTCTTCCGTAGTTTCAGTTCTTGTGCTGAGTATTTCCTGATTACACTACTTTCATTTATGGACCATTATTTGCCTCCACCTACATATTGGATCACAGCTTTTGAGGATGTTTGCTGTGTTTTGTTACAAAGTTGGGACCTGAGGGATACAGATGATCCACTTTTACCATCTCCTTTTGGCCTCCAAGCTGTAAGAAAGGGCAAGCCAGGAAGCCTCCTCATCCTCTCTTTTGTCTAATTTATTTGTCAGATCAGAGGCCAATGTGCAGGATGCTGTCCCAACTTCCTTTCTTCTTACAAGTCCTTCTTTAAAGAAAGAAGTTCTTGCTTCATTCCCATTGCAGCCTTATATACTTTTCTTATTATACACAACAGAGGCTAGCCAACCTCTGCAGCTGCTTGCCAACAGTCTTGGCTTCTGCAGTCATAGTCTGCAGCGTTGCCTTTAACTATTTTCCAGACATACCCATATTCAAGTAGTGGACTCCTTAGGTAGAGTCAAGTCCCACTACTGATTCTAGGTCAAGAGTCAGTACACTCAGCACTCCAGTTCAAGACCAATCAGCAGTGAACACAGATCCATGTCTCTCTCCCTTAGAAAAGAAAGAGGAAGAAAGTTCCTTGTAGTGAACACTTGGCGTCCACTCTGAAAACCATGCATGGAAGGGTGAAGTTCTGCTTCAGTAGTCATAAAAATAAATGAAAAATTCTTAAATAGCTTAAAGCATGACTGAATGTATGAACTGAGGAAGTGATGGATAGATAGAAAGATACTAAGATAGACTTTGGAAGTTTCTTTGCATGAAAATACCAAAAAACAGGAGTCCTTCCCCCCCCCCCCACCGGGTCTTATCGTGGAATGTGATGTGTGGAGCAGTCTGTTTTCAGAGCCACACTGATCCTCCTGTGTGCCTGTTGCTGGGAGTTAAGGTGTGTTTTGTTGGAAATATTTGATTGCACGTATGTCACTGTGATTGGCTTACTAAGAATGGCCAATATCTAAGCAGGCTTTTGGGGGCAGAGAAGATGCTGCAGAGAGAAAGAAGGGCCGGGTCACAAGGAGATGCCAAGGACACAGAGCAAGCAGCAAGTGCTTTACAAAGTAAAGGTACCTTGGCCACATAAAAGAACATGGATTTAAAAAGAGATGGGCTAATGTAAATTATAGGAACTACTTAGAGACAAGCCTAAGCTATCTGATCTT